TTTAAGTTGGTTGAAAACATAAATTGGTGACTTTGCAACAAATCATTTTGGTATATGCATAAGTCTTAGTTTGTGTGTTCTGTCTATAATCCAATGGAAGGTAGAGCATCTGCCTTTGTCTTATATATGCACACGATGGAAACTTGTCGTCGAGGAACTGAATTCAATTCTTTATTTTGATACTAACCAAAACCAAAAGAAAGGTGGCAAATTGAAGAAAATCATATTCATAGATAGTACTAGATGTTTATATTGATCGATATCCACATTATGGTTCTCGTTAAAACTAGAACCTATCGTACTTTCAGAATACATAATAAATGGCTTTGGTGATAATGCTTATAATTTTATCCTCTGTTTGGTGGGGGATTAAAATCACAACTTTAATAGATTTTTCATAATAGTTGATGAAATATGTGGTTAAAATTAATTATTAACTTTGACTTAAAATAAAATCTAGTTTTATTTGATATACAGGCTTTCAAAGCATTACTAACATCCGCATCTTCGGATGACCAGCTCTCTGCTTTAGGAGAATTGATGTATCAGGTATTCGAATGTTCATATAATTGAGCTTTCCTGTTTTCTCTTTCCTGTATGCATCACAAAATCTCTACACTTGCGACATTCTGTAGCAATGTTAAAAAACTCGATTTTTTCTAACTTTGTATTATTCTCTACAGTGCCACTACAGCTACAGCGCCTGTGGACTTGGCTCGGACGGGACAGACAGGCTTGTTCAGCTAGTGCAAGAAATGCAGCACAGTAAAATTTCAAGATCTGCCGAAGGAACTTTATATGGTGCAAAAATTACTGGTGGAGGATCGGGTGGAACAGTTTGTGTCATTGGTAAAAACTGTCTAAGAAGCAGCCAGCAAATTCTTGAGGTAATTATCTTGTATTCCAAATAAAAATGAATAGAAAAACTCACAGAATAGAAAGATTAGCTTCTTGGTGCTAAAGATATAATCACATGAACACTTATTTTCAAAAGAAAAGCATTTCTAGTAGTTCAGAAAAACACTTATTTATGCAGTGTCGACCGCACATTTTCTTGGAATTGCGCTTCTTATTACTAATGCTGGCAATGCTCGAGCGTAAAATTTTTTTTTTCTTTTTTTTTCCTTTTTTTTCTTTTTGAATTCTTCCCTGTTTCTGATTTGAATGTGCAGATTCAGCAGAGATACAAAGCTGCCACTGGTTACTTACCGATACTTTTTGAGGGGTCGTCCCCAGGTGCCGGAAAATTTGGCCACCTTAAAATTCGTCGCCGGCTTCAATCCAAGCAAGATTGATGGTTCCATACATAGGTAGACATTATAATTGATGACATACCATCTTGACTCTCACCATTGAAACGTGGTCAAGAAATAAAAATAAATTAGGATTTTTAAATCTTCTGTTATGAAAGTAAATTCGTATTTCGGTATTAGATATAGTGGGAACGAAATGGTATAGTAAAATTATCTTAAAATATTTACATTTGAAAAAGCTTTCAGGAGGAATGCCAACTAAGCTGCTAAAGTTCAATACATTCTTTTGTAAGGAACTCTCTGAAAATATTTACACTATGAGAACAAAACCATTAGACGAACAACTTGTTATCCTACTGAGATTTATGTATTGTTGGCTACTTTACTTCGATTCATCCAAGAAACAAGCAAGAAAAGTTGGAACTGCAAAAACTGGGCTCTCTCATCATATATTGCCTAGAGGAGTGTGTTAGGACAAATTGTGTTGCATTATGGCACTATAATGGGGAAGGATCAACTTTCAGGGGACTTGTCTGCCCTGTCCTTTGAGTCTGCAATTTGGAGAGAGGGTTTTCCAACATAAGACAAGGACAGAATGAGATGATGTAGTCGATCTGCAATGAATGAAGATTTCTTGGAATCGATTCTTGATGATATGTCATGTTTTATGAAGTGATTGTAGTTTTTCTTTGATTAGTGAAAGGAGTGAATATATTTATTGGTCATCATTTTTATTGTGTATTGTAGTAATTTTGAAATTAAAAAAGTTGAAATGTAAAATTTTAATTTTAATTTAAATTGTGGTGATGGGAGTAATTTTCACTAAGGGAATCTTACTAAATGCAAAAAGATAATAATTTTATTTTAAAATCTTTTGGGGATCAACCAAAATATAAATAATGATTGTTCAAATAATCAAATTTTATAATATATATTAAGAATTTTTACTTGATAATTTTTTTTTTTTTTGAAAAATATTCATCTTAAGTTATTATTATTATTATTATTATTTTTTGTTTGGTACTCAAATCAAACTCAACACCGAACCTAATTTTTTTTTTTTGGTGATGAATACAGAGTGCATCACATCTTGTACATTTTAACATTATTTTAAAAACAATTACTAAAGGCCACGATGCGAATTTTTTTGGAGAAACAATCATAAAGTACATATATTATTTAAATCATGATCATCCTTGGTAGGCTTGTAATTTGAGTAAATTTTTCGTTAGTTGGCATTTCTATCACCCGTATCATTTTCACTAGGATAATAGAAGAAGCGCTTGACATTCATCAATTTTTGTAGTGTTCGCTAAAAATAATTTTAAATTATTTATCAAGAAATCAATAAATTATTTATCTATCAATAAACTAATAACCCTTATAACGTTATCATTTTTCCTCGGTCCCAACAATTTTTCTTGAAGAGATTTTACTGTGTTTGAAATTTTATTTCGTTGTCTGCCACGGTCAAATTTAGAGGTAGAAACCCAGAGAATTTTTATTTATTTATTATTATTATTTTAACTGGTCATCTCCCATAATATGTAATTGAAACCAGGAGTTAGATGAAGGTTTTTATTTTTATTTTTTCTCTTAGGTCACAGGCATGATACGTCACTATTTCACTTGTATAATTGTTTCAAGCCTGCTGCTTGGCTAGGGTTGGGGACGGGGTAAACAGGATTAAACCAGATGTACAGGACTTGCTGTATACAGGGGCGGACCTAGACAGTTCGAACTGTGGGGTCAATTTTTTTTTTTTCAAACAACGTATCATGAACAAAAAGGAAAAATCGGTTGTTTGCTGTTCATGTTCGATGTTTGCACTTTGGGAAGAAATCGGTAGATTATATGATATATTTATGGACTAAATAATCGATATGGACCATTTGATATGGATATAAATTTAACATTTAGACTTTTTGGGACAGAAAATTAAATTTTCAGCACACAGAAAAAAAAAATTCCAAAAAACTGTGGGGTTATTTGACCCCATGTGGTTCCACCCCTAGTTGTCCATCATGATTCACAGCCCCCCTCACAATGAGGGGGCCCCACCTCGATTTTAATTTATTTTTAATGTGTGCAAGCCCCCTTGAATGTGAGGGGGCTGTCACTCGTGCTTTGTGCTGAGCTGTGCACACAGCACGGTCTGGGAAAACAAGGCGCCCACGTGGCGCTCCTTCAATGTTTTTAAATGTAAAAATTTTACTTAAATCAAGGTTCTTACAAGAACCATCACCTGTTGTTACACAATAATCCTAATCTCTCACCATCTCTGTGTACGTGCAAACTTTACAGATGGAGAAAGAATGGTAACACAGAACAAAAGACCTGAAAAAAGAACGAGAAAATGAATGAACAATAACCAAAACAGCCTTTTATCCGGTAGTCTTAATATGCAAGGAAATGAGCACCTGAAATTAGAATTTTTCAAGTTTTTGTTGGTAAAAAATATACATATTATAGCGTATACATTGCAAACCCACAAAAAGAATGGTAAAATTTATAGATTGTTCTTGATTTCTTCTGGTCCTTCTCAATTAATCATAGGTCGAACGACATTCGATCCATCGTTGGTCAGACTCTCTGCATGTCTGTTAAGTTCTGCAGGCAATGGAATCCCAAGTTCTGAGCATACTAAATGAAGTATCTTTGCAGTCACTCCGCCAAAATTCATTTTGTTCAAAGTCACAGCAATTGAAAATCTGTGCTCTATGTTACAATACCCTGTCGATCCACCCATGCCCGAATGTCCGAATCCAATTAAGTCACCATCATTTGAGTAAGATTTCTTAAACCCGAGCCCAAATTCTCCGCTTGGAAGTGTCAGGTTCTCATATTCTCCAACACCCATGAATTCATCATGAATTCTAGGATTGCTAAATAATTTACCAGAATTCTGGCCATTCCCATAGCCTGCTCTAGTCGAGGCGTTGCTACTGCTGTAACTAATGTCACTGGGAACTCTAATATAGTTGACGCCAGTAGAAATATCCGTCTTTTGTATGCACATCGACCCTTTTTGCTTTTTGGGGGATTTATGGGTCTGAAATTTGGGGATGTGTGGGTGGCTTCCCAACGGGGGCTTGGAAGAAGAAGAATGTGGAGGGGGAATTGAACCTCCATCGACAAGTGCTGCATAGTAGCGTGCAAGGGCACGAGCTGAACAATGTCCATTAGCAGCAGGAACGATGGCACGTCGAGCTTGAAGTGAGTTAAATATGGAAGGAAGAGTAGTCACCATCTGAGAAATTTCTCGTGCTTGGAAGGAAGAAGGTAGGTCTGAACGTGAGGCGATTCCAGAGATTCTCTTCGTATCTTCCATATCGACTGTGAGGCTAGCAAGTCGAGATTCCACACCTGTGACAGTATTTATTTGGTCAAACCATGAATGGTTCTATTAATGATCAAATATCAAGAACACAGTGAAAAGGTTGAGGTTTTCCACAACATCTCCCCCTCTCCCTCACCACAAAAAGAAAAATGAATAAAAATAAATAAACGAAAATAAAACAAACGAAAAGAAAAAAAAGCTGAAAAGTAGAAGAAAATTACCAGTAAAATTATTAAACTTGTTAATTGCTCTAAATTTGCGAAAAGAAAAAAGGCTGAAAAGTAGAAGAAAATTACCAGTAAAATTATTAAACTTGTTAATTGCTCTAAATTTGTTATATGAGAATTCAGTTTGGTGCATCAGAACGCCATCTAACTTCTTAAAACCTTTTTTCGTATGCAGTTATTGTTACAATATTTTTATGAATTTTCTTAGAATTTTTTTTTTTTTTTTTGATGGCCATGGGTGTCCGGGAATTTTCTTGGTGTCTGGGAATTTTCTTAAAATTTTAATAGTAGTTATCTTTCACAATTGTTTGATTATCCATCATTGCTGACAATTTCTCTATGAAATCAGTAGGGTTGCTTGCTGATAATTTCCCTACGAAATCAGTAGGCTTGCCACTAAACCCCACCATCTCATGGGCTTTAGTTTTCGGTTGCAATATCAGAAACACATTAATATTTAATCAAATACAATTAAATTGTAAATTCGTTCATAAGCAAGTTAAAAGAGGGAAAAAATAGTGCCCTCAAACTACAAATCCTTCTGCAATTCCCAGTATCTATGCAAACCAACACAGACTCGTGAACTCTCATTTAATTTCGTACTCATTATAGTTGTTGATAAAACCAGCAATATATATCTTAATCCTTTGTTCAGTGGCTTGAGCATCTAGTAGAAGATGGCATGATTCAATTAAGCTTCAGTTACAAGTGTTACTTTTCGTTCTCATTCTTTTTTTTAAGATGACGAAGTTATTAGTTCACAAACAATCAAATTACGGTAACAACCATCCAAAGATAAATACTTCTTTTTTCAAAGCCAACAAATAAAATGCTTAGGTTAATACTTCAACATATTCAGTCAACAAAAGCATTTATGAGATCATGAGAAGCCATAACGAGAAAATGATGCAATTGATGAATGGTTAGAACATGCCTGGAGGAATTCCAATGTATAGCTCGCCTTGTAAATCAAGAGGGTGAATAAATGCTTCTTCAAGAATCTCCTGAAACTTCTTCCCTGATGCGTGCTGTACAATGGATAATAATTAGATTAGTGTTGAGGCCAATATAATGGTTCAAAATATGTAGGATTCCTTGAGTGCTTTGGAGTATAGAAAGTAACAAGTGTCTTTTTAATACTTCTCTTTTACATAATCTTTTTCTTCCCCTGAAATGGAAAGGGCAGGCACGGTCTTACATTTCAAGCAAAACATTCCTTGAAAGGAGAGGAAACTCTTATCTGAAAAAATGATTGAGAATGATTTGAATTGGAGACTTCATTTTTAAGTGAACATTAAGGAAAAATAATCCTCACTATTTCTTTACTGAATTCCAGTCCTTGTACTCTATTAATTAAGTTGAATGAGTAGAACCTTTTCCAGGATAAAGAATAATATGAAAACGCTAGCTACGCAGTCCAATCATGCAGTGTAATTGTGTCAAAGAATTCTCAGTTTGAAGCATAATATGATCATATAAAAGATTAAAATGTGGAACCAAAGCTGGCACAATCATCACCAGAAAGGGTCGTGTCTAATAGTACCTCAATAATTCCACCACATAACCAGCCGAAAGACAAATAATGGTACAGTTGTATATGGCCAGGTTCAGTCTCTGGCTCCACCTTAGCAATACAATTTAAACATTCATCCCAATCAGTCATCAGTAAGGGATTTTCTCGTGTAAGACTGGCCAAGGCATTGTGCAGACCAGCTGTGTGATTAAGCACGTGGTGAACCTACAGAAGAGAAAACGCACCCGTAATATAGCATATGCAT